GCAGACGTAAAACAATGACGGTAGTAAATAACGATTGATCGTTCAAAGACGAAGCATGACGTCATTAAATTTGATTTGTGGTCTTTAGGTTGATGCATTTAGCGTTTTTTTTTTTAGCATAAAAGTCACATTTCAGTGGAGAAAATAACATTTAGCCGATGGCCCAGTATACAGTGTATCAGCCTTTGGCCGGTGACCCAGTATACAGTGTGTCAGCCCTCCGCCGGTGACCCAGTATACAGTGTATCAGCCTCCCGTCGGTGATTGGCACCCGAAGTGGAGCCGTAAACCGCGCCTGATCACGGAGCGAGCTCTTAGGCCGGCCGTTGGGCGGGAGTGCGGCCGGCCCGACCGACGAGAGAACTTCCGTCTCAGAACACATCAGCGGTAAGTGTCGTCTGCTCCAGACAGACTCGGGGCTCTAAACGGGAGCGGGCAGTGAGACTGGGGAGGGCAGCAGAGGCTGAAGGGGTCCCGGGACGACCCTGCAGCTGATCCACATAGTTACAGCCTGCCCGTCAAGGCAAGTCTAGAAAAAAGGAAACAGGAGTAACAATCCGCCTAGCAATGTCCCTAACATAAGCCTAACAATGGCAAGAGAACCTAAAACAATGCTGAACTAGACAATTGTTTACCCTCACTTACTGAGAGCAGAAGATAAAGCTTTGATTGTACTGCCGTCACCCGGTGATTGGACGCGTCTGTTGACACAGTGTGGACTGTGGGGCCGCAATTACGAGGCCAATCGGCACCACGCGGCTGACAGCCGAAGACCAGCGCGGAGGGATAGGCTCGCCCCAAATGGATTTAATTGGCTATCCGGTCAACAAAACACGACATCAAGAGCCGAGGCGCGCGTGGTCACCATGGTAGCCCGGATCCAAACTCACACCAGCAGCAAAGCTGCAGGTGTGCTCCTGTCTCAGCAAGGGACGCGTCATTGAACCTACCTGCATTCCGGAATGGATGTTGGATGGTTGTTTCATGCAAAACATCTGTGTTCGGGAAATAGCTCACATTAAAAAAAACTTTCGTTTGTGCTTTTAACCTATTTTGAAGAAGAAAAAAATGCGCTGCTAAAGAGAGTTTGCTTTCACTGCAAATGCGGGAATGAGTTCTAATGCTGAGGTTATGATGAAGTCCAGTGAAATCCATGCTGAAACTGATAGGCTTAAGCAAAATCTGTTTTTTTCTTTTTAGGAAAATCTGATCGCCAAATCTCCAGCTAATAGTGTTCGTATTTCCCGGCCAAAGCACCTAACACTGGACGCTCAATAAACAGGGCCTTTCAGTACATACAGCCAGCCTCGCACCTGGGTGGTAGGCTGTACCGCAGCACTTGCGTGCATTGCGGCGCAGTATAAGCTGCAGGCAGAAAGCCGACCGTGAAGAAGTCACTGAAGATACGCCTCGCGCCGTAGCAGCACCAGTCTTACATATGTTGATGAATGTAAATGCTTGTGGATATTCAGACCACCTCAAGTGCTCACCATAAGAAGCAAAAGACCAAAGGACCTAGGGAACAGTGCGCCCCTACGGAAATTCAACACTTAAGCACGCACAACCTGGACGTAATGCAAACCATCTAAAGTGTAAAATATGTATGTACAGGCCCTGCCGAGCTGTCCCTGTGACAGCACATCAAGAATGTGCATTAATTTTCCTACGCTGAGCCAAATCTGAATAGAAAATCATTTTTGGATAATCACTGCATCTTAGATTACAGCAAAATACAAGTCTAAAAGCTGATTTATAACTTGTTGCTATTATGATTGCAAGACACTTCTGTCTCATGGCAAAGCTCCTAGAATAAATGCTTATTTTCTTCATATGCAGCAATTCTTAGTGCATTTTAAGCCCACGCAATTTTAGTGATGCACGAAACTGGTCGTTCTTAAGATGAGATTTTCAGTCTATTTGCCTTCAGCGGCAAAAACCGAGGCTTTCCCCGGCGCGTGTTGGCGACAGCTCACAGCACAGGGCCACTCCCGGTCTCATTTCCTCTCTCAAATACGTGCTCCATTTCCAGACCCTGGTCACCAAACGAGATGGGGTCAATTTGTCTGTAAGCAGCGGGCGGTGTCGGCGATAAAACCCACCGTGAGGAGCGGCGGGTCCAGTGGGCGGCGGACACCTGGTGCGACGGCTGTCGGCGGGGCCGCCGCGGGCCGGCGGGGCAGGGACCGTCCTCTGCACGGCACTGCCGCTCCACGGCGGTCGATACACGGCGCACCGGAGTCCCCGATGGAATCCCCGACGGAATCCAGGCGGATTCCCGGCCGCGGGAGCTCACTGAAGGCCGCCGCGAAATCCCAGCGAGATATCCGTGGTCCTTCTAGCAGAGGTCTCAGCGGTCTTGTCAAGCCTTGAGGCACACTGAAAACAAAATGACACAAAAAACGACTAAAAACGCACAGGCAGAGCGTGTTAACTAGGTTTTCTTGTGTACCCTGCATCATGCATTTTTTGACCCGTCGCAGACGTGTCAATTTACAAATGTGTTAACCCAGTCGTGTTGTGTCCTAAAACACAATATCATTGTGTCTTCAACACATAAGGCTTGTGTGAATACATTTGCAGAATACAAGGTAAATGTGTTACTTAATTTAACACAAATCGCAAGTGAAAGAAGGAAACACGTGGTGATTATGTAGTTTGTTGCCGGGGCGCAGTTGAAGGGACTTTGGCTTTGGCTGGACAGGCTGATTGCCAAAGCCGGGCCCCGAGTGGAATCGGGCGCATGGGTGCGGTCAGGGCTGAGCACCCGGCCGGCCGACCCATACGGTCAGAGCGCGGTCAGGGCTGAGCACGCGGCCGGCCGACCCATATGAGGCCGCCGACCCATACACGAGCTGGAGTTGCGCCCGGTCGGCCACTTCAGAGCCAAAGGGTGAAAGCGTCACGTGGACGGCTCAATCAGAGCACCAAGTGACGATGCCCCAAATTGGAGAACTATTGCACAATTCAGTTGTCCAGACAGCCGGGATAAGTTGACGGCCACCGATTTTTCAAATATATCCTATATAGACCGAGGAGTTTCTTCCTCCAAGCAGACGTTAATTAGCTATGCTTCAGCTTGCACTTGCTGTAATCAGCGCATATTGCTTTAGACAATTTATCATGTATCGACTCCCTCGGCTGTATTGTGCATTTTGACCTTTCTCAAAACACTTTGGCAAATTTTTACAAAAACGCAGCATAAAAGTCGGTGCTCGAAAAACGCCCTCTGTTATCCCCATCTGAAGTTAAGGTTCAGAGGTCGCTCACTGGTGGATGGCACGGTATATTTGTGTAAGGGTACACGTCTACCATATCCGACAACACATGATTTCGATACACTGATGCATTACATTCGTCCAGCGTGCTTGGCACGAGAAAAGTGTGTCATTATTCTGTTTTCTGTGTTATCAAACGTGTCGCAGGTCCCGCCAAGCGTGAAAATACACAGCCTTATTGTGTTTGGGTGCGATTAACACATGACTGATGTGTTACCAGTACAGAACATGCCCTCACTGTGTCGATTTGTTTTCAGTGCAGCGGCGACAGAGACGAGATATCAATTTGTTTACGCAGGAACCTGAAACACGTGTTTTTTAGTGTCAGCAATGAACAACTCATCTATGACACTATATCTTGCTAGTGTTATGGTGTTATGATGCATAGGTATTGTAATGCATTATAAAGCGTATTGAGCAGCTGAAAGCTTATCACAAAGTGCACACGGTGCTCTAGCGATGCATCATTCCTCACCGGCTGGGCGCTGCGACCATCACATTAGCGACATGATGGGACATTGTATTATGCACCGTAAAGATAGTTCAAATTTTCATTTTCATCTCTTTTTTGCCACAAATTGTTCTTTTTCAAGAGGAAGCTAAATTGTCTAAAGTTAGATGGGCACGCAATTCAAATACGTAGCACATTATGTGGTCAGATTATGTTGAATGCAATCACCGCTTGTCACAGTCACGCAGTATCTCCTCGTTTGTCCCAGCATCCGTGTCTCTAGGTTCAATTACCTAAGTGCGAACAGCATACGTTTTCATAAACAAACATAGCCAGTGAAGCAGTATTTTGTTGACAGCTAGCTGACAAGGTTTTAATAGAAAGCTATGGATATCCAGAAACCACGGCGGCCATGGTCAGCTGAGTGGCGGCGCTGGGTGTATGATTCATCCCGCTATCGGTCTATCGTCACCTCAGTCGGCGCTGCGCGCCTGTCAGCGGGGCTCACACAGAGCTCACCGGCTAATCCCCGACATGGCATGCCTCAAGTGGTACGGTCATCCAGCCACTCGACACTCGGCCGCAGGCTGTCACTCAGTCAGCACCGAGGTTTGAGAGCCGCGCGAGCCTCTAGCGCCAGTTCCGCGGAACTTATACCGGGAAGCGCTCGCAGTCGCCGCCGGCGGACTCGGCGTACCTATCTGCGGCGCAGAGCGCTGAGCGATGGGGCCACTCCACTTCCCCAGATTTACTGCGCGGTCACAGCCAGAGGTGCTCGCCAGGATAGGAGAGCAGTGCCTTGGGACAAAAACATCTCCTTGACAAGCTATATGCTTGTCGCATAGCCCTCCCGCAAAATAGATGCAAACCGAAGATTAGCAGATCGATACATCAGGAATAAGCATAATCCCAGTAATTTTGCTATTTAAATGCAATATGCTTCGCATTCCAGACTTTTAAAAGTTGGGAAGGCATTGTTTCTTCGTTAAAGACGCATGATCTCAGGGTTCCGCTATTGAAAAGATAGAGAAATACACAATATGCATGGTCAGAGTTCTAGAAATGCGTTCGGGTAAGCGTCCCACCTGTCTTTGATCCTTACAGCAAACAGCGGCGATATTCACAAATCCAACACAAGATAGTCGGCTTGAAGTCGGCAAACGTCGCGGCCCTGTTGGGCCAGGGATTGGGCCAGGGATTGGAGGGATTTGTCGCATTAGCGGACCGATAGCACATCCGGCTGACACGCGATGCCGGCCGCTGTCTCCGTCCACAGTCCACAGTCTACAGAGGCTACGACAGGTGGACAGTGCGGGGGAAGGGGGCAGGGGACACGGGTCAGGTCCGTGAGACCAGCGGCAGGAGCGGCGGACAGTCTGGTCTCGGAGCTCCGTGATTGAACACCCATCTGACAAGTGGTCTACGGCGTGTTTTGTGGCCTCGAACTCTTGCAGAAATCAATAATCGTCTCTTGTGAAGTTATCTTTACATTGGGAATTGCCTTGCAATTATGGCTAGGATTGTCAGTGTGTTTATAGCTTTTTTCGCTTCAAGCCTGCCAGGTAAGTCCCATATGTTTACCAACTTCTGTACATTCATATGAACAACACTGCCTCATCACCAACTGATTTTCAGCAGTATCACTTTTCTCTATCTAAATGAAGTCGTCATGAATCCAGTTTGAAGGAAATACATCGAAAATTATAAATGCTTTAATCGTATCGCTCTAGCCTACAAAAAAAGATAAGTCCGGTGTAAAAGAAGACTGGACTGCGTACCTACTCGAGCAACGAAGGCGAGCTTACTATTGGGATTGTATTCGATCGCTATAAGTACCTAAAACCGCTAGCTCATATATTTTTTTCCACAGGTGTGCAGAAGGTGACAGGACAAGTCGAAACGCCCTCGGACATTGTATTTGGTACCGCTTCCACGCCTTGTAAGTGGCTGCCATTGTTCCATTAGTTCTACAATCGAATGTTGAATCGAAATACCATCTATGAGGGATTCTAAATATATTTCAGATAATTCAAAACTAAAGCTAACATGTAGCTCTCGTCCCATTTCTCCACCTGTTTTCAGCTCCGACTGGCGCGCCGTGCACGCCGCTGCTGTTTGACCAGCGCCAGTATCGCCTACAAACCACTGAGAGCTTCATCGGCGTGCTGACGGTGTTGATTCCGGCGGCCAACTCGGGTGTGAGCGGCTACAACGTGCGCACGCCCGGCTACGGTGAGTCGCGCGCCGCTGGCTTATCTCTCAGTGAAGCAGACTCAAGCAGATCCAGCTTGGGATCCACCACGGTGGTGAGGTGCATGCTGCACGGTGCATAGCGCTCAGTGCGCGCTGCATACCGTTGTATGCGCTGTAAAGTTCCGAACTGTACATTTACCGCTGATAGTTTTTTTCTCTCTAAAACTCTGGAATGTGTCAGCAATGGTGCATTTTTTCTTGCAGAGTCAAGCCTTATTCTGAACAACATCACAGGAATATTGCAGAAGGCTCGCAAGATGCCATACCAACGGGTAAGTCCCTAGACCCGGGTCAGATGCATTCTGAGCTGGAGGGACTGTAACCAAATGGACCAGAGCGGCTGTTTGCTTCTTTTCTTTTCTTTTTACTGTCGTCAAACGGATATAATACTTGACCTTGTGTTCGATTAGACTTTCTCTCGGGGCTAACATGTGAAATAAAGATAAACCATACATACATACTTTCCAACGCAAGGGAGAATCATTTATCTCCCAGTGTCGCCAGTTCTCAGTGTCGCCTCTCCCGGTTATCGTTGTGTCAACATATACTCGTCTGACGGGTATGCCGCCCGCTTTCCGGAGTGGCCGGCGCCGTTTGTATGCAACTCTGTGTCCGGTATCCCAGGACAATCTGTTGCTCGGCCGGCCCGCAGGCTGGCCTGGGAGCAGAAAATCGGCTCACCGGCCAGCTACAGCGAAACTGGCGTCCAGGGAGCGCCTGGCCGCTCTGAGCCGGCGTACGCGGCAGATATTGCTGATATGATGAAGGGCCGTTTTCTACAAAATAGGATAGACTGCTCCGAGACTTCATCCAAGGAACATGAGTCACACTGGGGTCGTCATGTACCAGCTGTACTACTAATTGTTGACGAGCTGCGTTCTGTTGTCAGGTGGAGTTATTGGTGCAGGGCGAGACGGCAACATCAGAGAAGAAAAATGCCACAAACAGCACAGACATCGTGGATGTGGATGAAACGCTGATCATCATCGACATAATGGTAAAATAAGTTTTATCAGACGTTTGATAACATATTAATCCTACTTTATTAGCGAATGATGTAAATTCCATGTTGTGGTTGCCTTAGTAATGTTAATTTCGTAAAGCAAAAAGCAATGATTTCTATAAACATATTTCCATTTCAGGAAAACAATCACCTCTAACCACTTGGCGAGTCGTGCTGCAGCTCAGCGTTGACAATGTCTTTGTTTCAGGATGAAAACGACTCGCCTCCGCTGATGGATTGCTCTCTGTACGGCGACACCTGCGATAATTTAGTGGTGGGGTTCCCCGCGTCGCCGACAGCCGTTCTTCCAGCGCCGCTGCTGCGGCTCACTGTGAGTGAGAGACACGAGCACGGAGAGCCATGCTTCAGCTCAGAGAGAGTAGCTCAGCCTTAGGTGTCCCTTAGCTCAGAAAGGTCGTGCTTTATCTCAGAGGGCCGTACCATAGCTCAGAGAGGCCGTACCTTGACTTAGAGAGCCGTAACTTAGCTCATGGAACCGTACCTTAGCTCAGAGGCCGTACCTTAGCTCAGGGAGGCCTTACGCTAGATCAGGGAGACCACATCTAAGCTCAGAAGGCGTTAACTTAGCTCATGGAACCGTACCGTAGCTCAGAGCGGTCGTCCGTTACCTAGCTCAGAGGAGAGGACCGCATTGTAGTTCAGAGAGCCGTTGCCTCGTTCAGAAAGTCGTAACTTAGCTCAGTGACGTCGTACGCTAGCTCAGAGAAGCCGCACCTTAGCTCACATAGGCCTTACCTAGCTCAGAGAGCTAGGTATCTTAGCAGTCACAGTCTACTTTATCAGCCACCGTCCTTCTCTCTTGTTGGTCTCAGGTGACGGACGCGGACACGGGCTCGTTCGGTGTGGCTGGTATCCAGTACTCGGTCAACTCGACCTCCTTCAGCGTGGACCCGAGCGGCCTTCTTTGGCTGGTCGACCCGGACCTGTGAGCGGTGACAGGCCACTTCGCCGGGGACACGGAGGGAATAGCCCGGCGTCCGCTGTGTGACGGGGCAGAGATGTCGGGACCATTTCAGTCACGCTATTTATTTATAATCCACCTTTCCAGCTATCGTGTCACGATGGGAATTCCCATCCCTAACAATTCATTGGTCCCCACCATACTTATTTTCAGTCCAAAGTTTCCTGTTGGTTAGAACATTAGCATGATTATTCGACTACTTTCCAGAAGTGACGAGCAAGTAGTCGTCCTGACAGCGAAAGACAACTTAGGTCGGCAGCCTTACATGCAGTCGCAAGCTTCAATCACAGTAAGTACCTTCGAGTCTCCACTTCACCATTTTTCTATCATGTAATCGCTCAGGATCAACCACATAATGAGCAATCACTCACACAGGATCTCTCCAGTCTGACCAGATCCCAGGTCCACCGCTGCCTTGCTGGCAATTAGCGCGGTGGTTTCCCAGCCTCATCTTGTCTGTCAGCTGCCGGCTGTGATCCCGCCTGTCCCGGTGTGGCCCGCAGGCGCTGCCTGTCACCGACAGACAACTGTTCTTCGTCAGCGCCCAGCGCCAGCTGACAACCGCTAGTGACGTCACAGAGCTACTGGAGGATATCCGCTCGGCCGGCGGGTTCAGTGCGGTGCTCTCTCCCCAGCTCCAGGGCATCAACTGCGGCAGTCAGGTGCAACAGGGACGGGGAATCGATCATGGCAGTTGGAGTGTGACCAGTGACCACCAGCCGTAAACGGTAAAGCAGAAAGCAAAAGTAGCCTAGGAATAAGGAAAATTGTTGGCCCGGTCCTGCGACTTTCTGCGGTCTTCGGTCAATCTTCGAAGTCTTACAGCATTGGAAGCATTGCAAACACAGGCATGCGCCAGCTGCTAGCAAACGCGGCGACAGAATATTAGAAAAACCGTCTGTGTGTCCTGACTCGATTGACCTAGCAGTCCCCTGACCTGATTCGATTGACCTGCTTGTCCGTGACCTGACTGATAATTTCCTGTCTCATGACCCTGCTCCGATACAGGTGGACAGAGTGATGGCCTCGCCAGGGAACGGCACGAGTCAGCTGTACGTCTACGCTATCTGTCGGGACAGTGACGGAGCGTATCGCGTGGTGGAGAGAGACGAGTTTCAGAGGTGAGACAGCTGGCGCTCTGTTTTTGTTGAATGCAATATTTGTAGCTGCTGTATCGTTGTTTGTAATCCATAAACCATTTGTCGGAATGACAGTTATATGTAGAATCTTTTCTTTTTGCATTTAGGTATTGTCAAAGTAAAAGTTATTTGACATTTACATTACATTAATGTTTATGTTTTTTCGGAGTTGTTCAAGAGGATAAGTACAAATCAGGGGCGGATCCAGAAAATCTCCAAGGGAGGGGCCATTAGAAACCAGGAGGCCCCCCCCCCCCCCATAATCCCACCTGTTGGAGGCCCCATCTTTCCACTTGTTGGCCCCCCCCCCAAAAAAAAAAACTGCGTCTATTGAGCTTATCTAGCTGTTCAGGCAACATCTCAATATCTGTGCAGGCTTGGAGGCCCTCTGTGCAGGTTAGGAGGCCCTGTAAAAGTGGTCATCTCTGTGAGTATAAGAGACCTCCAAGTTATGAAAAGCTTTACCAATCTTCTAACAAAGAAGTCTTCTCAGCTAGTCTTCTAAGAAATAACTAAGTGGGTAGGTTAAAAAAAAAACTCATCGGATTTCGGCCACTTTATTTTCAGGAGGCCCCCTTTTCAGCTTTTTAACTTTTTAACTTTTTATTTTATTTTTGAAAAAAAATCGGCCAAGGGGGGGGCCATGGCCCCCATGGCCCCCCCCCCTTGTATCCGCGCCTGGTACAAATATTACATTTATTCAGATATTTCGGTACTCGTACTCGAAATATCTGAATAAATGTAATATTTGTACTTATCCTCTTGAACAACTCCGAAAAAACATAAACATTAATTACATATAGTCCTGAGGAAAAGCTTTTTAATCATGACACTCAAGTCATATCTCATTTACATTACACAAAAGAAATTTATGCCTTATTCATCAAAATATGTGAAGACTCTTGTTTTATTTCCTTTTTTCTCGCAAATAACTTGTGCTTCAAAGTGTTTTAACTTTTTACGGTAAATAGACTGCTGAACACAATTCTTAACCCGGCAATATCAAGTGATGAGATTAGTGTGTTTTCCGCTGAGCCCTTACCCAGCCCTGGTTTCTGTCAGCGCGCTGGGGAAAATGGCGAAGTCAGACACCGTGCGGTACGTCGAGAGCAAGGAAGACCAAATGAACAGAGGTACGGTCAGTCGAAATGGTAATAGGTAATGGTTATTTGGAGTTTCCGAAAGACCCTACGCGAGTCATTTTCAATCACTTCGTAATCATGGACACTGCGTTTGTTGGGTGTTTTTGCGTCACTGTAGGTTGTTTTATGAGGGAACTTTTCCGCTGGATTTTGTTTTTATCTTTAGGGACATCAGAATACCAAAATCAAGTTTTCCTTATATCTTAGCTCTACAGCGAAATACGTAACAACTAACAACAGCGCACCACGCCGAGGCCAATAAAGGCCATCATCTACACCCCCACGCTGCGTTGTTCGCAGTTGGATTAGCGTGCCCGAGTGGGCCCCGTTGACCGAGTCTCCCTTCGATCCCCCAGGGGGCGGGGAGGAGGACACGGAGACGGGACTGATCGTCGCCCTTGCCGTCGTCTCCTGCCTGCTGGCGGCGGTCATTGTCGCCGCTGTGTTCAGAGAGTACACAGTTCGGCGGCGCAGCAGGAGCGACTGAACAGGTAGCGTGTTGCGGGGAACAGTAATTTTCCTCACCCTGAATATAGCCGATGATATAAGGCCTAGAGCTGAGTGATCTTAGACGTGTCCGTGAAAATGAAATTTCATCGGACTGTTGCAGCCTTCTAAATGTAACCAGCCACCACTGTGTGTTTCAGGAGACAACTCAAAAGGAAGCAGTCTGATTAATGGTGATAAGGTTACGGGCCGGACATCAAAGATTCAGCGCGCGGCCTAAGTTATCGAACCAACAACAGGAATTCCGAGAATTGATGAATCGCGTGCAGCATGTTCCGGTGAAAATTGATAGCCTTTTGATGTAGTGCTAAGAAATTTATTTAGACGTGAAAAGCCGGATATATCATTGAATACGGCGAAGGATGAGTAGAATTTGCAGCAATGGTGCATCGATTCATTCCAAACAACGAGACAATAACTCTTTTCTAAATACCAATGACCCGGAAGCTATTCAGAGAAAGTCCTAATAATTTCCTACGACGGGCATTCTATTCAATGGCCTAGCCAATAACCATAGGTGAATGTAAGTACCTCATCATAACATGTCTATACATCGATACCCATATGCCGCCAGGAATAGTGGCTGTGGGTGGATGGATATACCAGCAGGTCAGGTCACAGAAGGGGTCACATTTCCATTCAGCACACCGTTAAGTGTAGCATACTGTGCATTGCATAAACTGGTAGCGTCGTCCACTCGACCGGCAGGCATAGTTAGACACATGAAGCATTATGGGAGCTGGCTGGACTGCCCGCTGCCCTTGGTTTGTTTTTAAGTGTCCACTGTGTCAGCCGTGGTTTATTCTACCTCAAATAAATAGATAATGCAGCAGAATGTGTGGCAACCTGTCAAATGGTGTGATGTGATTGTTCGATTATTGCATAGTCAATACCTACATGAATTGTAATAAAATAATGTGTGATGCGAGTAGCATTTAAATATTTCTTTTGAACGACAGCGGGATGCTGATCAAGTGCATTTTGTTCCATGTTTGTAGATAGCAAATAAACACCGCCATTTTACCTCCCCGTTTACGTTTGTCCACCGCAGACATTGCCTAGTAAGCACAAAGTACTTCGTTCGTTGAAACGCATGCTTTTCATTTCATTTTCTGCTAGAGTTCTGCACGGCTGCAATTTTCCACAGCCTAGCCGCCCCGCAGCCGTGGCTCCACAGCCACAGCCGCCCACAGCCGTGGCAAACTGTGGGCAGCCAGCCGTCAGCCGGCCGTGGATACTTCCAATGAAATGCAACCAAATAGTACCTACATAACAAGTTGTTTTTAGTTGAAACATATAGCCAAAAGCACATTGCAATGGGCTATAGATTCTCAAGCTCATGAAGCATCATAAGTTAAGTGGTTGTGTATCTGGCTTTAGGCCGAAGGCCTGAAGCCTGATGCGCATCGCATGCCTACACAAGCCCTTGCAAGGGGTTAAGAAAGATGGGTAGGTAGGTACCTACATCAACAGAAAACATAAACAACGAACCAGAATAGAAGCACTAGCAGTGTAGACATCTAATGCCAAATCCTGAAACATGGTTGTGGGACAGAACAGACCCTGATGCTTTTCATTATCAATGTTGGGTATGGAAAATGAAACTGAAGTTGATGAACTGTCATACAGTGATTGTCTAGTCAAAACTCTTGCTTCTTTCTTACCTTGCATATTTTCTGGGGTGTGATATGCCAGGCTTGAAGCAGCCTTCTGAGCAAGTCTCAAACTAATTTGTTATGCAAGGCATCAAAACACTAGTGAGCATCCAAGAAAGAAAAACATTCATCTATTTTGATTTTTCCAAATAATGATCTTCGCTCAAATCCCCAAGGACGTGCGAGCCACAATTGCCTCTTTCAATCAAAATTTTTATTGAGTTTTTAATGACGTCAATAGCAAAGAAGTTGCAAAAAGAAGTGGCAATTAATTGTTTTGTGTCACTATAAACAGCCATTAATATTATAATTTATAAATAATAATGCTATACAGTAAAAAATTTGCTCTAAAACAAAGATTAATTATCAAATTTTTACGCTTTCAGAACAAGACGTCATTTTATTAGTAAAGTCAACAGCTCGCGTAAGAAAGATTGTGTTCAGGGTTTTCACCGTCATGTGAATTACGTGTTCAGGGTTTTCACCATCATGTGAATTAACCGTAAGTAAGGTTCATGCTCACTTATAATCTAATTCCATTGGCTTCGTTGATCAGCATTTTCAGTTAGCGGTCACTCACACACCAGTTAGAACATAAAGCGCCAGTTTTATATTATGTAATTGGACTTGCCGAAAATCCAGAAATACATCTAAGAGTTATTTTAGATAATATTTATGAAGCCTTTACCTGCCTTTATCTAGGCGTGATTTCTTTTTCTATTACCTGAAAGAATTATTGAACGCTCGTCTTCAATAGCTGTAAGGTGCTCTCCTAATGACCAGGTGAGATTGATTTGAGAGGGATGTGACAATGCAACATGTTGCATTTTCTGAAACTGTCAAGCTCTTGATGATGAAGGAACAATTGGTACCTATAATTAGTATTATGTACCAGAGTGCAAACTCCCCTACAGCAAATGGTAAAACCATTACAAGTTTTCAAAGGCTTCACCTCTTTCAATGTTGCTGGGCATCCTTTGCATGATTTTTACAGGCTAGACTGCTTATCAGAATGTAAGAATAAGGATTTAAAATTTTATATTTGAGTACTTAAGATTGAGCTTGAAATCTCACAGCCGTGGCCACAGCCGTAGCCGTGTTCTTGGAGATATTTGCAGCCGCCCCGGCCCACAGACGTGGGGCTGCAGCCAGCCGCGGCTGCAGCCGGCCGGTGCAGACCTCTATTTTCTGCTGTCATCTAGTTCCTGTTATACATCTGACGAGTTTACAGCCAGATTATGAGATAATCTTGCGCATCAGAATGCCATAAAGGAGAGTCATCCATCACGGATGCTCGGTAAAGTGTCGCATTCTCTCACTCAACACTCTCTCCTGTGTTTGCGCCCATGAAGATGGTCGACTCTGGGCTGTGGCATGAAGCATGGAAGACAGATTTACCTCGCGGGTTGGACCTCAACCGCTACGCCGCATGGGGCACCATCATCGGCCCCACCCCAGCTGCACGGAGCGGTACTGGGACTATAGACGGCCTCCGGACGCACAGGCCTATGTCGGCCTGTGTGGGCTATAGACACCGCCCTACCGGCTGCCGCCCCGCGGGGCGCTGGGACTTTGGTCGATAGCGGGCCGGTCACCAGCGCGACACCAATGACTAAAACCGCCACAGCAATTCACACACCGGCAACAGAGTCCGCGACTGGCGACCAGACTGCTGAAACGGCCGAAACTCTGCCGAGACAGTCTTCAACGCTCATGAAGCATGCTAAACTGGTCCACAACGTAACAGAGACTGCTGAAACAGATTTCAACAGAACTGATGATTCTACTGGAATGGAAGTCAGTGGAAGTCAGTGTTTGAAGTTACTGGTCACAAAACATGGCCTCAGACAAAACGGTTTAACAATTGCCTGCAACCTTTTTCTCCCCGCTACCTAAACGTACAATTTACCCTACATCAAATTGTTGTCAGCTTCAGTCCTGTGTCACCAGCAAACAAGTTTAATAATGCTTCAATTTCAACGTTTTCTAGCCGCCTACACAGCTGTAAGCACGGATAATGGCTGTTTTAATCTTCCTACCGCTTGGGTTATTTTGTCTCATATTTCCGCACGGACTCATCTCGAGTGTTCTGTTGTTTTTCCGGGTGCGTCCCCTCATCCAAGAACTAATTTAGTTTAATCGATGATCCTTGTTGCCGGTTTATCGGCCAATTTAACGAGGCAGCGCAGCAGTGTCGGTAAGTGCACTTACGCGGCTCACATAACCAGTTCAAGGACGGTACGAAAGCCGCCTAGGTCAACACACAAGTTCAACTGAAAAGCTGGCCTGGCTCGTAAGCTTATTTCTCCGTTGTTCAAACGTTGAAGCTCAACCGACAATACCCCGAAAAGTTCGACCATCCAAATCAGTCAAAGAGATCACTGTGCTGGGGGCTCAGCTACCGATAGGTAAATAAAAAAGTCCGGAATATTTTGATGCAGTCTCACCCAGTATGGCCTTTACATACATACAGGCTAGCCCAGTAAAGATCAGCAGACGGTCATACGCAGAGAGCATGCCATCTGCAAGTCGGCGGTGAAGCCGACCAGACCAGACCCAGTCCTGTATTGGACCACCAGGAGCGGTCCGCCCGCGTTGTGGACAGGTCGGGCCTCGCTTTGGTGCCGATGGCGGTGGGCTGGCCAGGTCGGGTCTCGGCGGGCTGGTCAGATCGGGTCTCGGCTGTGGCGGCAGTAGGCTGATCAGACCAGCCCGGCTGCAGTGTTGTGCCGATATCAGACCAGCGCCGTTGTGATCGTGTTGTACCGAGCTGACCAGTGACCAGTGCTGTTGTGACCGTGTTGTGCCGAGCTGACCAGCGCTGTTGTGACCGTACAGGCTGGCCGGCCGGGAGGGCCCAGTTGTAGTGTTGTGTCGATATCAGACCAGTGCTGTTGTGACCGTGGGCTGGCTGTGGTGTTGTGCCGATCAGAGTTCCGCTGTTGTGACCGTGGGCCGGCCGGTCGGGCCACCGTTCGGTCGATGGTGAGCCGTGTCGGTGGGTCCGCCGGCCGGCCACCGGCGCCCCGACTGAATAAAACATCCCCGGCCGGTGCCGGACGCGCCGGTAACTCAGTTACCCGGCTCCGCCGACTGCCGCGTGCCCCTACTGAGAGGGGAGGGGCGTCACGTGACACACTGCCGTCCGTCACGGCACGCACGGCAGTCGAGGGGCGGCGTCACGCGGGACCGTGACGGTCACTGACAGCGGAGACCTTACAGGGACCCCACTGGAGTGGGTCTGTAGGCAGTCGGGAATGCACATTTTCGAGCGCTCCTCGAGGGATCCATAACCGCAGGTTGTTTGAAAATCAGACAAACACTATTCGTTAGTATTTTGATGATGAGCCCAGTGATCAAAATTGAACAAATAAGTGTTTGCAGTTGCTTCAAATAAAGAAATAACAGTAAGGAAGGCGAAAAACTTAAAAGCTTTTCCAGTTGTTTGAGTTGCTGGCCTCCTATCAGACCACTTTTCCTCAAATATATTCATCACATGGGCCTGCGCCATGTTGACACCACACCATCGCTTTGTAATACCCAGTGTCTACATGAGCGTCATGAAGTCCAGTTCCCGGGCTCCAATGGAACCGTGCGGCTGCATCCCCCATCGACCCGATCGACCGGGACCGCGATCGTAGGTCATGCCACTGGCTGCGTGTATTATGAACGGCGCAGACATGCTCCAGTGCGATGTTTGCCAGGGAAGCGCACCGATGACTCTATGCAATTTGCAGTTTGTCTTTGCCTGCACGCATTTGCCCTGTACGAATGTGTCTGTTTTTATTGCTCGGTAGAATGAATCCACGAAGTGTTTGGCGTTAGCGTTGCGGCAAACGCCAAACAAAGTGTCTGACGGTGCGGAGTACGTGCCAAGAGCTCAGGACATCCTGGAAGTGTTCTCTCAGCGCGTGCGTTTGTCAGTCCACACAGCATGATTGCCCGGCGCCGACACTCGTCCTTCGTCAAGGTGCCATCACTCGGCTCTGCTGGTGCTCCGCGCCGGCCTATCGCCGCTCTCTGTTTACCCATCCGGGTCCCGTGACACGGCTATAGCCGCACCGAGACCGACCGTTCCGGGGAGCGGGTCACATCACAGGCCGGCGGCGCCCCCCGGGACCGCCCTCTGCGCCGCGCGGAACTGGTGTTTACTTCCCACTGATGTCGATACGGCCGACACTCGCGGCGCGGCGCGGCGTTTGATGACGCGGCTGCGGCGCGGGCTCTCCGGTGGAGACGTAAGGCCAGACAGCCGGACGCCCAAGGAAGGCGTGTGGCCGGTTCGTGACCCGAAAACTGGGTCTGGGCTGTGCAGAGTGAATATTTTAGGCTGCCCTCGGCCCCTAACAGCAGCTGTGGGTGACCC